CTTGCCGCGGAACTGTGCGTAGGATCTGCGCGTATAGCGCTTGGGATCAACACCTCCTTTCGGCAACGCTTCTCTAGTATCCCGTCTCATCTGGTTGTTGTACCTCTAGCAGACGCGCGGCAGACTCATGACTATGCAGCACTGCTACTCGATGAAAGCATAAAAGCAGCGGCGAAGGGGTAATGTACCGTATCGTCGAGTGGGGTTCTTCGCGATTGAAACACTTTAGCTAACGAAAGCGGCTTTTACACCCGGGAAAGGCGCGAAGGTTACCGACATAATGCAACGTGGGTGGGGATCAGCTCAAGGTGACGACGATTATAGTGTCAAGTGCTAAATGCCGTTGACGTGCTGCGCGAATGCATGCCAACGACCTGCGTGAAGATAGTTCATACTACGTAGTTCCCTATGTTGTGAAAAATAAGGAACTGGAATGTGATCTAAAATAATCATTCTCTATCAGTATTAATCTTCAATAATTAATCTCTAATCAATAATCTGAGATAAGGAACTGAACTGTAAGTTCATGACGCGCATAGCAACCTCCTGACGTGTACAGGGTGCCGTTGTTTTTTTACGATTCAGTTGCAAATTTTTGAGATTCAATTCCCAGTTCTATATTCGTTATTTTTCACAAAATAAGCGTCTAGGAACTAGAAACTAGTAAGTAACTTCACGCACATATTTCGCGGTTCCTTGCGAATAGCTGCATCATGTGACACCCGTTCCATGAATCATAACGCTGATATTCGTCCACATAACTACGCAAATTACTACGTTTCTTTACCTACTCATCGTTATACATAGTATGTTAATCTAATAGAGAAAACACGCAATGTCAATAAGACAAAAATGAAATGTTGACAGCGAAATACGATATCCACACATAAAAAACACAATGGCTGTCTTGGCAAGATCTCTTGTGTTTACTAGGCTTTAGCTTTAGTGCGGTTACGGTTCGCGTTCAGGATGTTTACTGAGGCATGTTTTTCCACGAGAACATACGTTGGCAACTGAAGAATTGATGAGTGGGTGATTACGTGTACTTGTCCGCGTGTATACGGTCACAATGGCTGACATCAGGATCATGTCCGCCCTCACAATCTCCGTATATATTATATATATATATATATATATATATATATATAAGCACGCACGCACACGCACACACGCACACACACACACACGCACGCACGCACGCACGCACGCACACACTCGCAAGTGTGTGCGAGCCTGGAATGACCATGTCATCCTTGCATGTCCCACCTCCCCACACCCCCTCTCTATGCAAAACTTAACATTAGATCAACGATAAAACGAAAAAAAAATGTAGTAATGAAAATGTATGCACTATTCCACGCGCAAATCTATTCTTGTCGCAGTAGGTACCTAGTGAATCTTGCTTTATTAAATTAGTGTTAATTAAAAAAACGTGACGTCATAGGACAATTTTCGCTTCCGCTTGTGTCTCATGCATGCAAACGGATAGAGTCGGTTGCGCGAATTTAAATTACGCTCTAATTTATCAGCTATACTGCGCTCTGATTTGCGGTCTTCTTTCGGCGTTGAAACAATTATTTTAAGTTGCTGCAAAGTTGCATGCATCCCTAAAAACATGCCCAGGTCTTCCATTGATCGTCGATGCCTAGTCGATACTAGAACCCTGTTGTTAGTCAGGCACGTCGCCAGGCGGAGGCCTGGAGGCTCGTCGGGCTTCAACATTATTTCCGGAATTTAAACAAAATAAATTATGGAATTAAACAGTTGCAATGTACTTTTTACTGTTTCAAATGTTAAAATTTCATTTTAAAACTCGCCAGCGTACACCATTTTCCATGTAGCATTTCAAAAATGTTCGGGGAGGCCCCTGGACCCCCACCAGGGAGGGGAAAAAAAACCTCACACACTCTCCCCCTTTACGGAGCTTCGCGCCTTCGTGACTGGGCTTCAACATTAGTCAATCCCTGGCGACGGCCATGTTAGTTGTATCGCGGCTGCGGCCTGGATACGCTCGTTGATCATGTTCGGCATACCATCGAGTACAGTGCGGGTTTACGCAGATTTGGTTAACGTATGACAGCGTAATTTACTTGTCGTTATAACCTCTTTGTATTAGGCATGTGTTGCCTCGCAGTTAATAAGATTCTTCGCATTGAATATAGTTCAATTATCTAGTTCTTTAGCGATTAAATACCATGTACTCAGTTTAATCAGGTTTAAAATGAAACTTCGCTAGGTTTTCCCGAAACTCGAATTGAACGTTTTATGCAACATGAATTTTAATTACGACGATTGAACACACCGCTCTTTGAGTAGAACCCCTCACTACAACTTAGTTCGTCAAGTGACAAGTGATGCTCAAAAAATAGGAAAATAGGAATTTTAGATGTGAAAAAATAGGAGGAAAATAGGAATTTTTGTGAGAAAATATATGTTAAATAGGAATATTTTTGCGTTAGATGGCCTCCCAACACCCCTACAGCCATCCTGATCCACCACAAATGGTTTTCTTAATAATTTTTATACATATTTGGAGTTACATCACATGCGAACATATTTTGAGGTTTTAATGAGAAATGCATGTTAAAATTGATAAGCAGTTTATACATGCATAAGCACCCATACATGTAGACTACTCCAAAATAGTAGTAATAATGATTAACAAGTGCCGCAGAGCGACAGCGCTCATCTAACGTCTACTGCGGTGACTCTGTGGTGGAGTGGTGGGATTCTAGTAAACCCTGTTAGTCCCAAATGTGTTCACATACACGCCGAAACAGTGGAATGCACAGGGATGGTATCAGGAACCTTCTCAAAAGAATTTCGTTGGGATCGTTATGAAAGTTGCCACGAGATGGCGCGTACGTTTAAGTGTCTTCAGATTAAAGATGGAAGCTCCCATCATACGTAGTAGCAACAACTATTTGCAAGACAGAATAGGTAAGCACTCATCCATTTACCTACGCAAGCCTACAGGCTGCAAATTGCAATAGAGAGCTGCCACCTGTAACCAATTAAGGCAGGCAAAAACTGCACCAACACATGCACTGGCAGCAGCCACTGGCAGTGGCATACGTTACATGTAACATACTGACAGTACAGAATGACATAGAAATTATACGATTTAAGGAACATACACCTTCTTTAACCAAATTTAGCTTTTGAAATTTCACTGTGACATTGTAGCCTCATACATCCAGGCATGTATAGATTCTACTAGCAAACCCGGCAGTCAAATTCTTTCTAACAGACAGTCAACAAATCCAAGTTTAACCCTCCTCTTGAGGGTCAAAAGGTTATCCGACACTTACTCTTCGCATGTCAGCAGAAGGGACATTTCATGGTCCTTTCAATAAAGCCATAAAAATGCTAGGTCACCGCTGAAACAAAAAAGTTTTTCAATCGCTCCGTCAGACCATGTCCTCAGAAAATGTCTAAAATCTGCCCTGTGCCCACTGACCTTTGACCTGTGACCTCCAATTTCGGCACAGTGATGGCTTTTCCTACCATGATGCTATACACCGACTATCACGAGCCTAGGTCGAGCCGTTTAGATTTGTGCCGCAATTCTGCATTTCCTCCCTATACCTTAAGTTAAGGAGTGAATGTTCCCCCTTCTTTTACACCTCTTGACCTTTGACCTTTGACCCCCAGCTTCGACATCCCAACTCGTTTTCGGATTACCCCCCCACATCCCGAATATCGTGACCGTACGTCGAGCGGTTAAGATTTGTGCCCAACTGTTGACGGACGCACGCACGGACGCACGCACGCACGCACGATCATGCGATTCTACAAGCTGCATCTGACTATGTCAGATGAGCTAAAAATAAAGACTAGACATGCACATGATATAAGATTATTCAGAAATTGTGCAATAAATTTTTACTATAAAGCACAAATAGGAATATGGGAATATGTGTTCATTAGATGGCCTCCCAACACCCCTATAGCCATCCCGATCCCCCACAATGGTTGTTTTTGTTTATTTCTAATTAAAATATATTTAAATGTGCACATAGTAAATTTTTTTAAGGTTCTAAAGAGAATTGCAAGTTAAAATTTATTTGCAGTTTCAACATGCATAAGCACCCAAACATGTAAGACTACTCCAAAATGGTAGCAATTTCAAAATAAATGACTGGACATGCACAATGATATGACATTCCTCAGAACTTGCGCAAAGCAAACGTATCAGAAAAGATGATTAGTGTGTCAAAATTCATGTATTGATATAACAAAACTATTGGCACACAATGTGTAATATGAGATTTTTCAAGTTTTACAAATAAATAATTTTGGCTGTCCGAGCCAACATAAAAACGTCATAAACTATTAACATATAATTCACCCTCTATTAATAAAATGGAATTGAATTTATAATATACTCTGGCAAATCACCAAAGTTAGGGGAATTTTTGAAAATTGGGTCACCTGAAATGTAAATTCCTGCATTCTGAGAAGGATACATACAATTCTGGATTCAGAAAAATGAAAAGCCCTCAAAAATAGGGACAAATAGGAATTTGTCCAGAAAATAGGAGAAAATAGGAATTACCCAGAAAATAGGGAAAAATAGCAAAAAAGAGGAACTTGACGTAGTTGAACTACAATCCACACAAGGCAATTAAACCGGATTTTGTCGATATTTAGCAGGTGGGGCCAATGAATTGACAACACGGATGTTGTCCGTGTATATTTGTCGTTATAACCTCTTTGTATTAGGCATGTGTTGCTTCGCAGTTTATAACATTCTTCGCATTGAATTTAGTTCAATTATCTAGGTCTTTATCCCTAACCCTAACCCTAACCCTCACTACAACTACAATCCACACAAGGCGATTAAACCGGATTTTGTCGATTACAAAAAATACGTGCAAAACACGCGTGTGTACCATGTGCTATTAGCATCACCTCAATAAGAACGTGTGTTGCACTACAATAGTTATTACCTGGACACACAAAAGAAAAATAAACAATGCACTGGTAATATTGGAAAACCTCTTTAATGTTAAACATTCCCTTATCATGAAATAACGATAACAACACACCGTAGATAACAAGTTGGCAACACGAATATAAGCAAAAACTTGTGTAAAGATCACTTATACGTATATTTCTGGTATAAGTGATAGAGGATGCTCTGGAAGATCTACCTTAGCAAAACAAAACAACGTTTTTAGTGCGTAGAACAACGGCAACGATTGTTAACGGAAGCAGTATATTATAAAGAAAATATCCCTGACCCATACAGCACACCATTGCGGTTGCAATTGTACTTCGTATTTGGCAACTTTTCGAAAATAGATATATATACATACGTACACACATAGCTGTCATGAGTACTTATCACACCACAAGATGTTGGCACACGTTTTGGAATGTAACAATGAACATTATTTATTGCCATATAACGACGTTATGTATAGAAGCTGCCGGTAGCACAAGCGTCAATTGTGTAGGTTCAAAGAGCAGAATCTAATAAAAATCATTTTCGTTTGAGCAAAATTTCAGGACAATCTTTTGTAGTCTTTCCCTGCTTTTTAATGGAAAAATTTTCTGCTCTTAGCACACTCTGCACGATGGGGAAAATCTAATTATTGTTTAATTATTAACGGTTTTACAGCACAAACCCGTACGGAAAATGCACATCTGCACTTGCAAACCTTATGTAGGTTTCTGAGATGACCGCATATCGTCATGAACAGCTCGTTTTAAAGGCACGTTAAGTTAAAAAATACCTGCCTTGCACGAATCACAGTTATGATATCAAGCGCCATCATTGCTAATGTTAGCATGCTACGTGTCCTATTTATTAGTAGTGACTAAAATTAATAAAAGGACAATCTTCTCTTATCGAGTTTTGGCAGAAATGATCACATGTGAATCACAGTTGTATACTCACTCGCGTTGACATGTCTTCCCGACAACTCCCAGCGAAACGAAAGAGCTCACAGTATTAGATGCAAAAAAATAACTTCTGGAGTTCCTTCACGTTACATGCCTTATTTTGTAACGAGGCCTTTGAGCATTGTATGTGTCACGGGCCAGTCGCTGTGGCTCTGGTCCGACGACTCATCGCCTGTGTCTGCGATCGATTCACCTGGCTCCATCCGGTGAATTGGCATCTTCACTCCTGTTACTGTCAACAGCTGCAGCTGCTCTGTTGCCTCCTGCAGGTACCTCTGCAACCATAAGACACAGCGTGCCAAACACCGATTGGTTTCTTCTTTTTTACAAGTTAAATTCAAGGCTTGTGCGTATTTCTTGTCACACTACATCGATGAATAATCAGTGTATGTGATGATATACTTAACAAGAGCCGCAGAGCGACTGGGCTCATCTGAGGTCTGTTGCTACGGTTATAAACGTAACATTTCAATCGTGCGTAGTGACACCTTTGTTAGGCGCAGATATGCAGATACGTGGTTGCATACACATCATTTCAGCAAACGTTTTTTTTATTGCAGAGAGAGAGCAAGAGAGAAGAAGAGAGAGAGGGGGGCGAGAGAGAGAAAGAGAGAGAGAGAGAGAGAGAGCGTGTGAGAGGAGAGAGAGGGAGAGAGTCAGTCAGACTAAATTGTTTATAAACAAATAACACCCACGCGGCGTGCTACTGTATCGGTTATGTCATCGATTGAAATGTACATTCCGATTTCGCTGCGCGGCGTCCAAACTTTCGACGAAGATGGCGGGCAGAGGTAAGGCAGACGCACGTATAACGTACAGATTTCTTCAATGTCAGGGAGGATCAACACATTTCGACTGACAGTCAACCATCGGGCTCTGCAGCGTCCACAAGCCAGCATGCTCCACCATAACCCGACATTGCACACTACTGTAACGTCGACGGAGAGAGCCATGCCAAGGACAGTACAAAACTTGCAAATTTTCATTGGTAGGTTTGATGATTCATTTCTGCAATTACTTATCTCAAGATTGGTTAAACTGAAGTTAAGAAAGTAATTCTTTCTGCACTTTTGAGCACAATATACATTTGACCTATCCTGCCAGGACATTCTTCTCACTCTGTTCCGATAGATGGC